GAAAACAGTCGTTGAAGTTCAAGAAGAGGAGGAATGAAATTCGAACACAGAGAATTCATGGGACCTTATCGGATGAAAAGAAGGAAGGTACAACATATCAGAAAAACATTGGTCTAACATTATCAAAAGATTGTGGTGTTAGTTGTGAAAATGATGAAGCTTTGCAAACTGATATACCAGATGACAATCTCGGTGCTTATGAAAAATTTGTGCCCCCCTACACACCAAGACCCGAGTGTTCTCCTTTAGAGATTAATGAAGCAGATTTATCCTACAATATCATCCTATTTGACACTGAGACAAATAAGATGGGAAAAGATGCGGAACTATGTCAAATAGCAGCAATAAACCAAGCAGGTGATCGATCCTTTTCAGAGTACATTTTACCAAACAAGAATATAGAAAAACATGCATCGAAGGTGAACAATCTTACTATACGAACTATAAACGGTCAACGAGCACTCTTCAAGGAATCTAATCCAGTTCAAACGCTTACCTGCGATGATGCCTTGACCCTTTTTGTCAGTTTCATTGAAAAATCTGCGAAAGAAGTCGAGAAATCAACATCAAAGAATGTCTGTTCTGTTCTTGTAGGTCATAATGCCAAGCGATTCGATGTTCCTGTGTTACTTCGCAACAGCAACAGCAGCATAATAACAAAATTCCAATCCTTGTCTATGTGTTTCGCTGACACCCTTACGTTGTTTGAATACTTGGTAAAAAATTCAATTCTGCAAGACCAGAACGGAGGCCCTTGTGCGTTGAATCAATCTGCAGTTTACATGGCTCTATTCAATCAACATTTCAACGCCCACGACGCTCTAGAGGATGTCAAAGCTTTACGTCGAATACTTTTTGCATCACGGCTAAATCTTTCCTCCAGGGATCTGTTAAATCACTGCAAACCCATATCTTTTAACGAAGCTTACAACGACAATCTTTACCTTTGTAAACGACACAAACTATCCGAAACATTTGGAAGTCTTTTATACGACAACAGTTGTGGGAAATCAACGATCAGCAAATGCATGGTAGAAAAGATCGCCGGCAGCGGCTTGAGTTATGCAAACTTGAAAAACATCTTTGACAAATTTGGCAGAAAAGGACTTGTTCGAGTGTTATCTACATCGCCTCCCGGTTTCAAAAAGCCACGGGTAACAAAAACGAAGAAAATCTTGCTTGCAATCGTGCGCCATTTCGAAGCATCACATAAACAATAAACCGTGACGCTGCGGGAACACCACGCAAACAAAACACGAACATGCGCAGATACTGTTGTTGTCTTTTTGAAATTCTGTGTGGCCGCGTAAGTTTTTCTATTTTTGTTTTCGTTTTTCTTTAAATTTCTTCGGTCAATTTTTTAAATTTTTTGTATAATTAATGCATATATCATGTTTTTCAACATATCTAAAGACTAAAAAAATCTACACAGCAGTTTTTTTGGAACAAAAAATTTGATACTATTTCAAAATTTGTCGTATAATTTGCCTTATTTTTTTATATATTCTTTACCCCTGTATTCCGAATTTGTACAGAAAAGTTTAAAAAAATTCACCGAAGGAAACTAAAGTTATGTCAAACTTTTGTCTTGTTTTTAAACTTTTCATCTCATTTTCCATACGACATTGCTGCCATAGAAACGCATTTTTGACATTTTTTGTCCCGTATAGTTTAAGTTCAAAGCTTAAAAAACCCAAGCTTTTTGCCAAAAATTACAGAAAATGGTTACTAATGTTAAAATATTACTTTTGGTGTCTACAGCTTATTTTTACTCAAAATTGTTCTAAGTGCAGGGAGCCACCTTAATAGCTCTACGCCTAGGCCGATGTAGTCTACAAGATTTGCACGCCACCCAGTTTTTCATTTTCAGAATACGCCGAATACTTGAAAATTGCGACGATATGATAAAATAAAACAAAGATTGTGAAGGGAATAAAATTTGTAGGCTAGCATTGCTCCTGAACGGCAAGTGTTGGTGTCCGACGAAACAAGCGAATCCGTATACTCCTGTACAGCGTAAACAGGTTACGCGAGGTTTATATTTGTGTTTATTTATATTGAACTAATTGTCAGATCTATAAGAGCATATTAAACTAAATATTAATTATAGGAAAAGTGCAATTTGAATATCAAACACCTTGCACAAAGTCAAAGATCAGCTAAATATTCTAATTCTACTTTCTTGGCATGGGTGATTTTATTTGATACCTTCGGCTGCAATGAGCACTTACAACTTCTTGCTTTTGTATGTATAATTATAACACTGCCAGTGGTGAAGCTAGTCTGCGATAGCAGACCGATCTCAGCCAACCCCCCTGGAGCGGCAGAGAAACAGTCTGCGAGAAACAGTCTCGGCTGAGATCAGTCTGCTATCGCAGACAATGGTGAATGGAGGGTCATGCTATGCAAGTTTTTAATGATTTGCATTATTCAAATAGATGCAGGCTTATTGGCATGGCATGACCAGTTGCCATGGTAGTTAGCTTGCCACTGAATACTGTACAATATCATATTATATATAAACGATAATAATACTTGAATGAATCATTGGACATGTAGAATTTAATAACAATTTCATCAATATAGAGATATTAAGTTAGTTTTTGTCCCAATTATCGTTTTAGTGCAATAATGGCACTACCCCAATAGCAAAACAACTGAACAATCTGAGACAAAATCTATTTGTTGACAGGTTTTGTTTCATATATCAGCTTGACACCATTCACTTGCAATGATTAAGATTGTACTCAGAACTGCAAAAACTATATAATACAAGAAATTTTGAGCATTTATCAAAAAACATTGTATACCCTGAGTACTGTAGTGACAGGATTATGTCATATTATGCTATATAAACAATGGACATATCTCAGAGATATATTTTTAGAGACCGTCATACCTTTTACAAAAGTCGGTTGACATATTACATGTAACTGCTGGTAATTTGTTACAGCAATATGTGCAGACTACAATCCACACTGGGTCGCTAACTGGCTATAGCCTATAGGATTATCTTTGTACAAGTCAGATAATTCTTCATTCGTACACAATTGTGTGTTTCAATAGTGGATTCATTCGTTTCAATGGGTAAAATAATTCGACCAAAACACATTGTTATTTGTGATCAAACTTTCATCTTACCTTGAAGAATATTTTCGATAAACAGCCAGACGTAAAAATATATTTCGATAAACAGCCATACATAAAATTTGCAGCAAGTTGGGATCAAAATTCACAACAAGGATGAGGCAACGGTTATTTACAAATTGCAATATTCCATTCAGTGTGATGTTCGCGAGTCTCAACCAGGGTATTCGGAAAGTCAAATCGCGATCTGGAGTATGTTATTTTTTAAAATTTCTGTGACGTCAAAAAACGTCATAAATCTGATCATCCGTGTGTACATCCGTCCGTACATTCAAAATCGAGTTGTCGTTCTGCTATACATAACTCGGCCAAAGAGACTGGACACACGTAAATGCACTACTTCATGTTAGGAATAGTGTGCTGCCTTTGGCAGCAATTACCGTAGTTAAATCAGCTACCAGAAATGTAGTTATATCAACTCCATTATCGTAGTTAAAGCAACTCGTTTAACCCAACCAGTTTCATCTGCCCATATATATATATATATATATATATATATATATATATATATATATATATATATATATATATATATATATATATATATATATATATATATATATATATTGGAATGTAAGTACCTAATTACTATTTTATAGACATACACATTACTTTGACATAGGCCTACTCGTTTATTTTGCAGTCACGCTGAAGTGTTGGCTGGTCTTCCTTCAATAGGTCAAAGTAATTCGTGTCCACAGGAAATACTGTAGCTCCTTCAAAACATAAATATGAGTGGTTAATATGGCCTGTATCACAATGGAAATATCAGTGGTGCAACGCTCAAACGTTAACAAGGAGAAAGGCTCTCAAAAAGGAGGGCGATAAGGCAGAAGAGGAAACGTGGAAAATTTCAATTTCAGTATACATATAGGCCTATCAAATTATTCCTGGCTGTATAGCAATTCTCCAATACTGTTTATTTTAATGGTGAAATAATTTTTTCTTAATTGCGATCTATGTTGTGAAGGATTAATAAGATCAATATTGTTGTTCAATGAAATTTAAAAACTATGTACGAGACCGAACTCATAACGTGTTATGGAATCTGCAAAAAAGAAGTTTACCCTCCCCAATCGACATGAAACATTTTAACAAGGGGTCTCAACCCCTTGAATCCAAACAAATGAAATCCCTCCTATCGTCAATCAATCAAAAACACCCTCAATCCCGGATAATACTCTGCTGCCTTCTCCCCCGCGACGACAACCTCCTTCAAAAAGCCCGAGACCTCAATGAAAAACTAATGAAAACTGCAAAAGAATTCCCAAACACAACCTCTGTAACCCATGCAAACCTATTCCAGTCCACATCAATACTCTGACAAGAAACACCTCAACAACAAAGGTTTCAGAATCTTTGCAAAAAACCTTAAAAGTGCATATTATGGAACCCATCAGAAAAGATCAAACTTTAAACCAAAACCATATCCCCATCCAGCCATCAGACCTTATCCCCAACCACTACCTTTCGTTTCACTGCATCATTCATCCCCTAACCCTTCAACTTTAAACTACCATCAACACTCCCCAAACGCGCACACAATGGCAGCCAAAGCAACCTGATGAAACCATTAAATGGTAATGCCAACCTGAAAATTGCTGAATTGATGAATTTTCTCCACGGACTACTCCAATGATTTTGTGAGTACCAATTAGTTAAACCTATACCTTTTCTATTATAAAACTATTACCACATCAATCAATATATAACCTAATTAACCATACTAATCATTATATCTAATCCTAGTTTAATATAAATATGCAAAACATAATGCCCCAAATTTATTTTGGGTCAGTCAACCTTTTTCCAATCATTTGAAAACTTGCAGAGAAATGTTTTCTAAGCTATCAATAAGTGCTTGGAACATAAATGGTTTAAAGCATTATACTCTTGGTGATAAGCTAAGCAATAATGACTTCATAGATAATATAAAAGACCATGATTTGATTTTTTTAACTGAAACATGGTCTAAAGAAATTAATAGCATTCCTGGTTTCAAGGAAATATCCTCACTTACGGCAACCCCTAAATCAAACTCCAGTTGCCGTCTGTCTGGAGGAATTTCGCTTCTATTCAAAAAAGAGTTTGAAAATATAATTTCTCTCGAAAAACGAACTAAAAATTTCTTGTGCTGTCGAATAGACAACACAATCCTAGACTCTACAAAGGACTTATTTATTTGTGGAGTCTATATTCCTCCTCAAAACTCACGTTACTTTGACGAGGAAATATTTGATGACCTGGAAAATGATGTAGTATATTTCTCCAAAAAAAGAAATGTTATGCTGCTGGGGGACTTTAATGCCCGTACCAGCAAACTTGAAGATTTTGTCTCAAAAGAAGGAAATACCTTCATAAACGTTATTACTGAAACGTCATTTCAACCAAAAATGAGGGAAAGTTTTGATAACTATATTAATAAACATGGCAAATGTCTGATTGAGATTTGCAAAAACTGCAATCTGAGAATCCTGAATGGTAGAACCCTTGGTGACTCATTTGGTAAACCCACTTCCCACAGCCAAAAAGGCTCAAGTGTGGTTGACTACATAATTTGTGGCCAAGAACTGACCCAAACCATCAAAAACTTTATTGTCAAACCACCAACTTATCGGTCTGACCATAGTAAAAAGAGCTCCCACTCATGCCCCTATCAGTGAGACTACTCACATGCAACAACCTAAAACACATAGGCTTCCACAACAATTCGTATGGGGCAATGACTCAATGACAATATTTGATTAATTCCAATCCATCTCCTTCAAAGGAAGGTGTCAACTTGTTTACCTCAAAAGTAGAAGATTTAATTATGCATGCTGCTAAAAAATCCATGAAAATCAAAAAGAAGAAATACAGAAATAAAGCTTCCAATGTCTGTAATAAAAAATGGTTCGACAAAGAATGTCGACTACAAAGACATTCAGTAAGAAGACTCGCAAACCAAAAACACTGTGATCCCCTTAACACCGAAATAAGGGACAAATACCTTGCCACACTTAAGATTTATAAAAACACTCTAAAACGCAAAAAAGAACTTTTCCACGAAAAAAAACTAGAAGAACTGGAAAGAGTTTCTGAAAATGACCCAAATTCCTTCTGGAAATTCTTAAAGAACATGAGTGATGACTTTGGGGACCCTTCCATGAGCAAACCAGATGTCTCGGTTAACAGCTGGCTCACTCATTTCCAATCCCTGCATGCTAAACATACATTAGAAACAGAACAGAATAACATTTTACAAAAATTAACAAAACTTGAAGAAAAAACACCAAATAATTTTCTTGATGAACCTATTTCTGAAGCAGAAGTTTTGAGTGCTGCAAAGACATTAAAAAACAACAAATCTGCTTATTCCGGCAAGATAAAAAACGAAATGCTGAAGCATAGCGTCAAAATATTACTTAAATTATACCATAAACTTTTTAACCTCGTTTTAAAAACAGGGCATTTCCCAGATCAATGGTGTGAAGGTCTCATTGCGCCAATTTTTAAGTCAGGAGATAAAACTGACCCCAATAAATACAGAGGAATTTGCATGACTAGCTGTCTCAGTAAATTCCTTTGTAGTATTTTAAATCAACGGTTAAGTAAATTTAGCATTGATAGAAACATAATTCGCCCCTCCCAAATCGGATCCCAGTCAGGCCACAGAACAGCTGACCACATTTTCGTCTTAAAAAACAATAATTGATAAACACATAAATCAGAAAAACGAAAAAATCTATGCATGCTTTGTGGACTTTAAAAAAGCCTTTGATTCTGTTTGGCACGAAGGTCTATTTTTAAAACTGCTTGAAAACAAAATTGATGGTCATTTCTACAACCTTATTAAAAGTCTATATTCAAGCTCTAAATGCGCCGTAAAAGAAAGTAAAATAAATCGAACTGAATTTTTCTCTTACTCCAAAGGAGCGTGCCGAGGGTGTATTTTGAACCTAAATCACAATGGTATTCAAACTAAATCACAATGGTAATTTTACTCTAGCTCTAAAACAACTAAGCGAAAAAGCCTTGCATGCTTTATACGGTATAAGAAGACAGCTCAATTTCAGCCATCTCAATCCCAAATATGCCATTAAAATATTTGATTCAATTATAACTCCTATCCTACTGTACAACTCGGAAGTATGGGGGACATACGTGAAAAATGATTTCAACAATTGGAATAAATCACCAATTGAGAAAGTTCATCTTAAGTTCTGTAAAATTTACCCCGCTATCAGTAGGAAAGCAAGTAACATTGCCTCCAGAGCTGAGCTTGGAAAACTCCCTCTCATCATTAACGTATTCAAAAGGTCTTCAAATACATCACTCACTTAAACTTCCGCAAACAACCATTGCGAAGCAAGCTTTTCTAATCTCGAAAGATCTACACTCCAAGCAGAAAATGTCTTTTTACGGAAATACAATGGATACTATCAAAAATTTAAATCTAAATGAAGAAATCCTTAATTTAGAAGCCGTAACGACTGAACATATTAAAACTATTACCAAAACCCTTGAGGAAAAATACTTAACATTTTGGAAACATAAACTTGAAAATTCATCCAAACTGACTTTCTATTCAACATTCAAAACGGATCACAACCTCGAAAACTACCTAGTATTTATAAAAGATCCATACAAAAGAAAATGTCTTTCAAGACTTAGAGTCAGCAACCATAACCTCCAAATTGAGATCGGGCGCTATCAAAATATACCCCGTGAAGAACGCTTATGTAAAATCTGCAATTCAGGAGAGGTGGAAAATGAAACCCATCTCCTCCTCTCTTGCAAGGCCTATGAGCAATCTCGTGCAAACCTTCGAAGTTCATTAGAGAATGCTTCATCTGACGAGATTAATCTAAACTCTCAAACTCTATCAGCGGACCTAATGAAGTCAACTGATGGTGAAATCATAACCAAACTTTCAAAAGTTGTTTATTCATGTTTCAAGCAAAGACTTAAATACCTTGAAACCAGGAATGCGGATTAGCAAAGGTTGTAATAACCAACTTATTTGTAAATAGCATACTTCTCTTTTTTCTTTACCCTTAATTCTTCTTAATATTGTATTTGTCTATTATAAATCATTCCACAAATAATAATAGTCCTAGTTTATCATAGTTTCTTCTATATATTGTTTGTAATGCTTTAGCAATACTGTAAATTTATGGTCATGCTAATAAAGCTATTAATTACCTTACCTCACCCCCCGTCGACAACTTTTAGGGAAAAAAATTTTCCGGACGAGTACGTTATAATTGCTTACCTCAATTTTTCATACCAAATTTTTGGTACTTTGCCCCAAAAAACAAATATCTTGCCCTTTGCGCGGAAATATTTTAGCCAAAAAAATGACTGGGGCCCAACAAAAAAATTCTAGGGGCCCTCACAACCTGGGGGCCCGGGGCAATTTGCCCCCCCCCCTGCCCCCCTCTCGGGGGTCCTGACAATTGTTATTAATTTAAAGTTTGTTCGTTCACGGCAACCAGGTATATTAATCATGTTTTCGCTCGCTACTCAAACAGTGATATATTCTCAAGCTAATGAACGGAAATATGTGCTAAAAGAACATCAACAGGCTGTTTCAACTTTAAACAAGGGGAAATCAGCTTTAGCAGAACATGTGTGTGATACCAAACACGATATTGCTTGGGATAATTCTAAAGTAATTACCACAAACAATCGCTATGGCCAAAGACGTTGCCTAGAAGCGTGGCATATAAATATGAGTCATCATGCTTTGAATAGGGATGACGGTGCCTATTTGCCAGAAGAATACATGCATCTTATTGGCAGATGACGTCATCGCTTGGGTATTTAAGAAGCCACATAGCAACTTCAGATCACCCCTGATGAAGACACTAGACTGGAGTGTCGAAACGTTGGGTCGTGAAAACAATTCTACTGGGCTTTGTATTCATTTGTATAAACCAGATTAGCGAGCGAAAACATGAATTGCTATTAATACCTAATATTATGTTTAGCTTATTGAATTACCTGAGTAAGAACTGTTGGCTGGTTGAGCAGCTGCTCTAAGGATTGTAGCAATGGGACATACGCAAACACGCCGTTAACCAAAACTTCACTATAACTTGTTCCAATTCGTTTTCTCTTTGATACATGACCAAGTAAGATACGTCTAGGTTCCTTTAATTTAGAAAAAAAAATAAAAATACTATATACCAAGTACATACAAAATGTTTTATTTGCTATGTCGTTAATTTATTGACACCATTCCTTGGCACTATTGCTTGTCACGAGGCTTGCCATCTTGTATTGGTCAATAGTATAAGACCCTGACAATGCTTCACGCCACTGATGATCTTTCTGATTGGCTAATTTCTACAAGCTTAGCGCACGCGTGAAGCAGTGAACATAATAGACCTTACCGTTTATTCACTTTTCACCCAATAGCCTCGTTTTCGTGTGGTATCAGTCCACATGTTTCGTGCACAATACATTTAAGGATAGGTTTGTGATTGATTGGGCTCAAGATTAAAAAGCAACATATTCGTTCAGGAAACATGGGATGTAGCCTTTATGTGCAGGCCTGCCGCGCTAAAACAGGCAAACATGGAAACGAGGCCATTGGTTCAAAAGTGAATAAACGGTAAGGTCTATTATATAAATATATCTGGAGAGCTTGCTCCCATATACGATGTTATATATTACAATTGTACTTACCACAAATGAAAAATTTGTTTTCTGAAATACGGTTTGTTGATGCTTTGTTTCAACATGGGCCAAGGGATTCGATAATGGGTGATCCTCGTCAAGTAGGTTGCTTAAACCTTCGATTTCCTGTAGTTCCAGTCCCCCTCCTTCGAGTTTCTTTTCCACTTCCTTTTTCAACGCTTTGACCGTTCTTTTCACCATAGCAGTTGTTCCTTGGACGACACTGTCAAGTGACGTTTGTGTGAGAAAGTTTGTTTCCTTAAGTTTTAGTAGGTAGAGGGCGTTTGTGCGTTTCATTTCTTCCGTTTCATCTTCATTTTGAGGGTTAACGATACCTTGAAACTGATCTAATCTTTCTTCTGCATTCAAACCCTGAACATTGTGTGTAAGTTGCGCTACTGGCTTCTTGATATCAATGTCTTTGCTGACTTTGTCTGCAGGTCACTTTTATAAGAAAAAACTCTGCCGAAAGTAGATTGACATCCAGGTACGTCACATATGATGTGTAAACCAGGGTCATTTTGGTGAACCAGAACTAAATGACTCACCATTTCTGATATACTCGCAGTGAAGAAATGAGTACATACTTGACAGTTAATGTGGTTCATTATTGCCTCTCTTTCACAAAACTATGCCATCAGCGAGATTTCCTACATTTTAATATGTGAATTATCGAAATTGTCAAACTAAGAACAACAAAAATTTGTTTTATAAGAAAGTTAGTGTTTCCACTCTTGACACAAAATTTCTCGATTAGAATTTCTTAATTTTATTGCAGAATTTCCTTTAGTTCTAAATACTATACGATTCTACACTAACTTAGTTATTCTTAACTAACGAGCGACGAGCGATTGGTCGACTTGTGTCGCTTGCAGGAATTTAAATCTCATTAAAAATTTTGGCGCGAATAATTTTGACATAAGAGGGTGTGTACTGTGTACATTTCTTACAATTACTTCACCGCGCCGACAATGGGTTACCCTGGCCCAGAGTTTTTTTTAGGTTTGGCGAAAGCGAAATGCGAGAAAACGCGCGATGAAAAAGGAAAAACCTCTGGTGAATTTGTGAGCGATTCCTGGTTCGGATAAAGAATGCAAAAAATGTCTAATGGCTTAATGCATCATATTCTAAAAATATTATCCAATCATTATCCTTGACGCCAGGCCGTCTAGACAGGGTTTTATTTAAAAATATCACGTGTATACTGTAGCAATATTCATTCTGAATTTCATTCAATTTAAAACATCACATTTATTCAATTTAATATAAATATATATTTAAATTCATTCACTTTAATCTTGCAATATGCATTCAAATTAATCCTGCAATATACATTCAGAAAAATCTGTATTTAAATTTATTAAACACACCACTTTGGGCCGACGTGTGAACTTCGTCTGTTACAAAAGCATTTCTCTCCATTTCGCATTTCGAATAATAGACTCGGGATTACAAAATACGAATGTAAACTCTCCATCTAGTGTTGCTCTCTTGTCCTCTTCTCTTTCAGCCTATAAAACTGCTTCTTTCAACTTTTGTTCGCTCATTTTGTAATGTAGACATTTCAAAGTTCAAATGTTTCAATTCAATCAAAACACGAAACACCTGCGAACAGGCTATGATGTTTACAATATCCAATCAGAACACGTAGTCCATCGAACCTATAGTCAGCAACCAATCAACTCTTTCATTCCAATTTTGAAAGTTATGTGTGGAATGAACCCGAAAAACTCCGCCAATTTCACCAGAAGGTTATTCAATACAGGCGAAAACAAATACCCTCTGGCTCCAGGGTAACAATGGGTCTACAAAAACACAAAAACATTCTCAAGAATTGATATTTTTTGTCGTCGAATGAAACAGTTTGCACCAAGTGTGGAAACGAAATGACTGACCCAAGTAAGCGCCGAAAGCTGTTTAATGTATCAACAAAAACAAGTGCATGTAAAAACTTATTGAATCTGGACAGTTGTTTGTCTAACAATGTGTGCCGTATTAAATTGTGCGGACAAGAATAGTAATTTATTAAATTAAGCTTATTTATATAGAAAGTTGATTCGGTTCGCCAGCGATTTAACGTAGTAGAAGTTAATCTAATTGAAAAGAATCCGACAACTGTAACCAAGAAGCAGAGAGGCGGCGATTGTGAATTGTGATCAACTAGAAGACGTCGCTAGAGTTCAAAATCCAGTAAAAATACGCGTTGTTTTCTCAGCAAACGAATTTGTAATAATCAGTAATCGAGATCAAGAAACCCAAACTAAACCCGAAACTAGTGAGGAAATTTTAGAATTATCAGATGCATCTTCGGTGGCAGAATTAAAGTTTATTTCTGCACCCTATACTTTATACTCAATGTAATGTTTGTTTGTGTATTTTCACATGGTTTTTGTGTTCTAAAAAATTGTAATTACATTGTTTACTCTGTTGTTTGCTTCAATAATACACATTTGTTCAACAAAAAGCGTGAGAATATAATGTTATTTTTAGACAATGACGTCACCAGTGGATTTTTCTACCGGTGATATTTGGCAGAAAGTGATGCGCGCCATAGAAGGGCCTGGAAAGGACTTTGGAAAATCTACCATACAATCTATTGAGGAAGTTGAAGTTATGTTTGTGTTCGGAAAAATCATCTCTCAAAAAACTTCAGGAATGTCAATCACGCATTTCTCCTCGTCCTTTAAATATCCCTTATACATTCCCTTATACATAGTTTCGTCTTGAAAACTGAAAATATGAGCCTGTCTTATACTGTTGTACTTATAAGGCCAGTAGCTCCATATATGGTATGATCGTAAAGCATTGTGGGATATTCGCGCCAAAAGTGAAGTATTTGTGAGTTTGTGTTTTTCCGAGCTTCGCGAGCGCCGTTTCTTGATTTTGTTGTCTTTTTAGGCGAAGTCTAACGACGATGTCTTTACCATTGAATAGAAATTCCAGTGTGGAAGACATTGTTTCGTTTCTAAATGACAATAATTTTTCAAATTTAGTGAGCGTGTTTGAAGGTGAGTTGAAATTTTGAAAACGTTCAGTTCGGATTTTGTTTGCTATTTATCTCAAGCGGTTTCATGTCATGTACAACTGCGACGAGAACACATATAGTACTAACAAGCCTTTTATTAAATTCATCTTTTAAGATAACAAAATTGATGGGCAAGACCTTTTTGATATGGAACTGGTGGATATAAATATATATGTTCATACCAGTTTTAAAGGAACGAAAAAAGTTCTTAGCCTTGTGGACCTCGGTTACCGGTATGGTAAGTAGACCGTTTATATAATATAAACCACTAAAATATCAAAAGAGAAGCATTTAATATTATGTCTGGCTTTCCCCCTCCGGCGAGGCAAATATTTGTTTGGTCAGTCTGTTTTGTGTTTTAATTAAGATTTCGACATTCATGTAGGTTGTTCAGTACAACTCGCACAATCAGTTAAAAAATACAACAAAAGTCTTGAAAAAATTGTTCATTTTCAGGCTAAGCGACTTTTCACCCTTTCCTACAAATAATTAAATACTTCGCAGGTAAATTAAGCTTTTTAAATTAACCTGACCGAAACTATTGAGTATTGGGCTGTTTCAGGCTATAATGAGGGTCCTGAAGGGGGGGGGTCCCAATCCCATTTCCCACCTGAAATTTTGGCAAAATCCCAGTCCCAGTTGGATTTTTATTAGAAATCCCAGTCCGAGTTATTGAAATCCCAGTCAATAAAAAACCCTTTATTTATCGGTACAATAAACAGTTTTAAGACCTTTAAGCCATCGTGTGTGCAAGTGGCGCACACTTTATGAAATTTGGGGGGGGGGGTTGTGCCGAAGGCACGGAAAATTTTTAAATTTGAATTCCGGAAATGGCATTTGCAGCATTCTGAGACACGCATAATCAGAAAACCCAGAATTCCGGGCGCCAGAGTATGCCTGTTCGCAGGTAGTACTGTGAATATTATAGTTAACAACAAAAATCATGACCAAAGACACCAAAAACGGATCAAAATTGTATTTTAAAATACTTAAAACGTAGAAAAATTGGGAATCGACTCGCATTACCTCAATCCCATTCCCATTTTTGAGGACTTCATTTCCCATTCCCAGTGGCCAAATCCCAGTCCCAGCAACCCAAATCCCATTTCCCCAGTCTAAAAATAGATCAATCCCAGTTCCCATTTTACCCCTTCAGGACCCACTATAATAGCCTGTAGCTGCATGTGCCTTGTCCCCGAGCCGACGGCGCGAAGCGCCGTGCGAGGGTACTAATTCCCCCCGGCTATTTACACCCGGGGAGACGAAAGCATTAGCGGAGTCTAAAGTTCATCAAATATCGCGGGCGTGGGTCACCAACCGTGGGTGGTCATCCTCACTGATCTCAAATATATGGCGGACTGTCATGAATAGCGGATACTGATTGGTCCAATTTAAAATTTGCATTATAACGACTGCATGACGACAGCGAAATAGCAAACATTTCTTGATTTGATGATTGATGATTTTTTTACTCGCATTTTTGCAAGATTTTGTAAATTTCAAGAGTTTTCTCATAAAGAAAGGTCGAAAGAATCGGCTAAAAGAAGGGAGCCGACGTTAACGAAGGTAAGTTTGTTTTAAATATTGATTTTATAATGTATTTATATGAAACAACTAAACAAGACAGCACATAATTTCAGTGTATCTTTAATATTGATTTACTTTTTTATTATATTGAACTTTTTAAATAAAAAAGAGAATTTGAAATCATTTTATTGCAAACTCAAAGTTTATCGATAAAGTCATTTAATTATAGAAGGCTGTTTAGTTTTATAAAGAACACTTTAAAACGTTTTGCGAAGCGTTTGTGGTTGCATTTTACCTTAAATTGAAGCCTATATTACGTATAATAACACATATATATATATGTTGGGAAATTGATAATTTTGTAATTAAAAGTGATATTTTTACGAGATTTGTAAGAATATTCTTAAAAAATTATCGTGTTACCATGACAACTGCTTTGTATACTTCATGTTCGAAAAATACAATGGTTTTGTCAGCAAGGCGAGGGTTTCTGCATGCATGTATTTTCTAGTCCATGGTATATTTTGACCTAAAACGCGTTACAGACGAGCAAGTTTTCTATGACAAGTTTTTATATGGCAAGTTTTACAAATGTTTGTCAATTGCACGTGTGTATGTGCAACAAATTTTCTATGACAAATTTTTGGTTTTCTGATAGCCACGATTGCTATTAAGTATTAGTATAAAACTACTAGTAGGCTATCACATATCGTGGCTTCTGATTGGCTACGCTACTAGTAGGCTATTAGTGATAGCCTACTAATAGAAAATTCAAAATGGCGGAAAATTCGCGTTGTGCACTTTTGACGATGTGTCTGATGATTTTTTGGACGACTTGTTGAACAATTCTGTACTAAAAAACCCGAAAAAAGCAACAAAAATATGGAATGGCAATTTTTAAGGGTAAGAAAATAGACAAAATAACATACACTCAATGAAATTTTAAAATTAAAACTGAATTTTGTAAAACATTTTACGCGAACAAAAACTAAAATATTTGTTTACCTTTAATGGTTTTATAATGTTTTTTTTT